TTCTTTACAGAATTTGAATTATTTTGAATACAGTTTGTAATGAAATTCTCGAAAAATGTAATTATTTTCTAAAATTTTATTAATATTCAACGAAAGAAATGAATTATTTTCAAAAATTTTGATAAAATTCTTTTTTAGTATTCAATTTTAAGAAACAATCAGTTATTTAGAAAATTTAGAAAAAGGTATAAAAAACCTGGAAATAGTACGGAATTTAAAAAATTTTCTGGAATTTTGCCTGTTTTTGAAGATTTTTGAGAAAATTTTTTTCTTTCCATTGTTTAGGAACAGTACAAAATTTTTTGACCAACAATTGTTAGTGAACAGAAGATAAAGTTCGCTCAAAAAATAATTCTTCATCTTCTGCTGATTATCGGCTGTGGTTACATTTTATGAATTGTGAATTAAATTAATTTTGATGACTCAGATATTAATTGAAATTATCCTAGTAATAGTTTGGGACAAGTAAAAAATTTTTTGACTAACAATATTGTTCGTAAACAAAAGGTAAAGTTCGATCAAAAAATAATGCTACTTTTTGATTCTTTTCTTCCAGTCTTAAAGCTACTTATTGATACTTTTTTAAAACAAACTATTGCATGCGAAGCCTGTGTTCATATAATTGCAATTGTGTTTAATTTTAATTATGTAATTAAATAGTTACATAATTGCAATTAGAAAATTGGAGAAAAAATAGAAAATACATTAAGAAGTGTAACGAGAAGAACTGATTTAACGATTCTGACGCTTTTGATCGTAAATCACTGAGAAAGTGACTTCATTTGACGCAGAAGTGCCTGCATGTGGAGGTACATAAGTTAGGTGTGATGTTTAAACACAAGCAAATACACTCGTATTAGAGTCCACATAGGAATATACATTAAGAAAGAAAAAAAAGCTCAGGGAGACCGGATGACTGTTGAATGTTTGTTAGTCTTGGGCTTTAAAGTCCGTACGTCTGTCAGTTCAGAGTTGTAATATTAGTGCGCTTAGTATAAAAGTCGGCGCTCAATCATTTATTCTTCTTCTGCTTCTTCTTTCTTTCTTTATCTAAGAATTGCTTTTTTGTATACATGGTTTCTTCATCTTTCAAAACTACTCTCCATTTCTCTGTATCTTCTTTAAAGTTACTTTCCACTGACTTTACTTTTGATGTATATATACTTACTCAATAGGCGTTTACTCCAAGTCCTGTGGTTAAAACTGAACGAGTTCTCTTTACCTCGAATTGAAAAGTCAACTTCCTTTTCTGACAAATTTCAGTTTGATTATTCTTGAGTAAATAAAGTGGGAAATTGACGTGAATATTTTTACTTATTTATTTTTTTTTTAATTGAATAGAAGAGGTGAATTACTGAAAATTAAGTTTACCAATGTCTATTAATAGTTGTTTGGTAAACCTGCATGGGAATATTATTTTTTAGAAAGTTTGTTGGACAAGCTTGTATAGAAAACTTTATGTTTTTTATACTCATATATACATTGAAACAAAATTTACTTGATTCAAATAATCGATTACTTGTCTATTATCAAATAAATATTTACTTGAATCAAATGAATTTTATTTAGATCAAATAAATTGTATTTGAAACAATAATTTCAGTATTTGAAACAAATACCATTTAAATTACTCAAATAAAAATTATTTGATTCGAGTAAATATTTAATTGATAATAGTCAAGTAATCGGTTTATTTGAATCAAATAAATTTTTTTTCAGTGTAAATCTGAATTAGTAGTTTTCTACACTGTGAGAAAAGAATAATTGAAGTAATAATTTTTTCCAAGATTATTTTTAGTTAGTAAACTATACTTCTGCTAATAATTGGTTGGGTCTATCATTTTTATTAGAAAATAAACTTAGTTATTTTATTAGTTGATTCAACTATTTTTTTTATTATTCCACATAATTCGTTACGTTACGTTACTCTCAATGTAGTGATTACAAAGAAAAACAATTTATTTGATTTAAATAATCAGTTGCTTGTGTATTATTAAATAAATATTCACTTGAATCAAATAATTTTTATTTAAATCAAATAAATTGTATTTGAACCAATATTCTCAGTCTGTGAAGTAAATACCATTCAATTGATTTAATTAAAAATTATATAATCCAAGTGAGCAAAATACAAAGTATATCTAAAACCAAAAAAAAGATTTATATTTGATTTAGAGCCAACTAAATTACTTATATTTCTTTTAAATAAATTTTATTTGGTTCAAATAAAATTTTATTTTATTCAAATAAAAATTTAAATTTTACCAAATAAAATTTTATTTGTGTCGAATAAAAATTTAAATTTTACCAAATAAAATTTTATTTGTGTCGAATACATTTTTTATATAAAACAAATAAATAATTTAGTAAGCTCTGAAACAAATATTGTTTTATTTTTATTAACATTTTTATTTTTATTAAGCGTGGTAAAAATAAATATTCGTAAAATAGAAATAATTTTTTTAATAAAAGCTAAAGAGAAATGGTTATAAATTATTTTCATATTACTTTTTACATAAAATAATTTATATATTTGTTTATAGAAATTAATTTTTCTAATATTTAATATTTTTCCTTATTATCGACAATATTATCATTTTATGATACAATATGATAATGTAGCTTTCTGTCAGGAATTATATTTACCGAGAGAAACATGTTACCATATGTGATAAATATTGATGGTAATACCCGCTTTTTCTGAGGATTCTTCGTTACCTCGAAACGATAATAAAAGTTTCAGTTTCTAAAAATTACAATTTGAAATGATAATATAAAAAATTTTTAAGTTTTAAAAATTTGAAAATTTATATTATTTTTGACTAATTCGAAATGATAAAATAAAAAATTTTTTTAAGTTTTAAAAATTTGAAAATTTATATTATTTTTGACTGATACAATTAATAAATTGTTTATGTTTACTTGCTGGTAAAATAAAATTTTCTAAAAAAGAAATATGTACGAAGCTAATAATAATTATGATTTGAGGATCAATTATTATTAGTATCAATATTATTTCATTTAACTGTTAAAAAAACTCGAAATGAAATCTTGTTAAATAAGCACATTAAATTTTTATTTAAAGAAAGTTTTTTTAACATTAATTAAATGCTACTGTTATTTTTTTTACTTTGTATATGTAAATTTATATAACAATTAAACAACATTTGTTTTCTGGGGTTGCATCGACATTATCATATAACTTCAATCTTTGCTCATGAGTAAATAAAGTATAGAATTTCAATGTTGATCCAACTGTGATTGATTATGAATAAATGACCTAGTAATGGATATCACAATGAATGTGTACGTTCATCGTAATAAATTTATTTATGTTATAAATCCATTATACATTCCAATTAAACAAATATTTTTAAATTCATTACTTTATATTTTACACATTTGATAAAATCAATTGCAGCTAAAAACTAGAGATATATTTGTCCTAAAATCTACTAACTTATTTATTTGTTTCAAGTAAATTTTATTTAAATTAAATAAAATTTTTATTTGCGCCAAGAAAACAATTTATTTATGTCAAACCAAAAATTAGTTTATTTGAAGCAAATACATTTTTTATTTGAAACAAATAAATTTAGCTATTGTTGGCTTTGAGGTAAATATATACTTTTTTTTAACTCAAATAAATTTTATTTGATTCAGATAAAATATTTCTTTCCAATGTGGATGGAAAGGAATTTAAAATTGCTTGTTTAATTAAATTGTATTTAAATTAAATTAATTATTATTTCGACTTCAATTATCTTATTCGCAGCTAGTATTAATTAATTATTCTCACCCACAAAAACGGTATATTTTACTTACAGTCGACTAGACTTTTTATTTGTTTCAAATAAACTTTATTTGGTTTAAATACAATTTTGTTTGGTTCAAATAAAAGTTTTATTTAAACCAAATAAAATTTCTATTTATTTAAGTGAAATAAAAGTATAATATTTGTCTCAGAGCCTATTAAATTATTAATTTGTTTTAAATAAAATTTGTACTTGAGGCAAATAATTTTTTAATAATCAAATAAAATTTATTTGAAATAAGTAAACAGTTTAGTTGGCTCAAATACATATTTTTCTTGATGTAGTAATTTTTTATTAATTTTAATTACAATAGTAATTCTTATAGTTTAAATTCAATAATTATTTTATGCAGTCAAATTATTTTTTTTAATGCGATCAATTAATTTGTCTGTAAAATTAATTACGAGTATATTGATTTGAACTTGCTTGAACTTCGTAACTCATAAAAACGCCTATGTTTTCACATATCACTTAATTTGAAGTTAAAAGAATCGCGACCCATGAATTAAGAAACAATTTTTTAAAATAGACTGCCAGTTTTATCAGTAAGTTCCCATGGATCTTAATGGCAACGGTAGCACCGTGAGCGCGATAATAATGTATGTATACAGCTTGCAAGAATTCAATACGAATGTATCATGCCTCTTGACTGCCAGATGACCCCCAGTGCTTGCGAGATAACCTAAAAGCCTCTGTGGTTTAACTCAAACTGTCAGAGCTTTACCTATTTATAAATATGATTTGTTTGTATATTTGCAATTTTAAATCCCCCCCATTCCACCATGCATATGTACCTGAAGTTTATTTTTCTTTATGAAAAATATATTTTTAAAACATAAAAGAAAATTTCTAATTAGTTTATGAAGAAATAAATTTTCTTTTAATTTTCAATTAACTTTTTAAAAATTTTAATGTTTGATAACTATTTTTTTATATCCAATAAAAAGTCGAAAAGTCGAATGAATTCGTATATTTTTGAATTAATAAATAGAAGATTGAAAATAATGATTAAAAATGTAAAATTAAATTGTTTAGAAAAAGAATAGGAAAAATAAAAACTATAGCTAACAAGAGGTGGTTACTTTAACACGGTTTTTTTTATAGGTGCATAGGATTAATTTTCAAAATGCAGAATTTATCGCAAATAGAATATATATATTTTTTTTATAATTTGTACAAGTTTTTTAATTTCAATTTCAAAAATATAAAGTACAGGTGTCCTTTACACTGGTTTCTTTTTTATTTCACTGGAACAGCTTCCGTTAAAGCCACTTACAACTCAAGAACGATTTCCGTTTCGAAATTTTCTTGAGCCACTTTAAATTTTCCCAAAAGAAAAAAAAATTAAATTCTACCCCGTAAAGGGACATCTGCTATTTTTTCTTTTTTTCTTTTTTTTAATCTTAAAGTCTGCTTGATAATTTATTCCTAATACTTAACAAATATACACAAAAAAAGACAAAGTATACAAGTATATATAGATTTGCTATGTACAAAAGCTTCTTTGGTTGTAATATTTTATTTGTCGTTTTTTGGCTCACTTTTTTGGTTCATTAATCACTTAATACCCTCGTCCCTCCCTTCGATGAATAAAAGAATGTTAATTTTTACAATCAATTTAAAAATAGTTGAGACATTATAAAACGAAGTTCTAAATTATTTTCGAATGAAATTATCTTAGAAATCGATAGATTGAAATTAAGTCAAATTTTTCTGAAATTTCAATATTATAGGACTTTAAAAAATCTTACTTTCGGTTCACTTTTGATAAATGCCCTTAAAATTAGATCTATTTCTGACTGAATTTTAACCTTTGGTTTTTCTTTAAAACATTAATTAACATTTTCTAACAATTCAAAGAAAAAAAACTTCACTTTTAATATAGCTACAGGTTTCACTGTATTAATAAAATTTTTAATTCTTTAAATTAAAGCTTTCGCTATTCTAGAGCAACATATTGCTTTTTAAGGTGAAGCTGTTTTCCATGCTGAATATAATTTTTTGAAATAATTTTTTGAATTTTGAACAAAAATTTATATTAATTAAAATTTTAGAATCAAAAATAGGCTGAAGTTAAGTCTTTTTTTAGTGTGTAGAGTTTACAGAGGTCCCTGAAGTTAGAGTCGATGTTAAGCATCAAAAACAATTTTTTTCACGAAATCGAAAATTATAAAATAATTTTTTTTCTAAAAATTTTAGGTAGAAAAGTGCCTTGAACATTTTTTTTAACTCTCTAGATTAATAAAACAGGGGAAATTAGTAGCATTTTTGTCTCTAAAAATCCCAAATAATAGCTTTCGACGCTAATTTCAGGGACGCATCTTTACAGTTTAGTAAATTTTTTGAACTTTCAAGTTCAAATTAACAATTAATAATATTATTGTCTGAAAATAAAAATAAATATTAAGAAACATTTTCGATTTAAATTCAGAAAAATTTTGATTTAATATTCAAATCAAGAACTCCCTGAAGTTGGCGTGGACGCAAAGCGTAAAAAAAATTATTTTTCGCAAAAACGAAATGAATCAAATAATTTTTTGAATTTTTCAGATTGAAAAACTGCTTGAAAAAATAATTATGCCTTATAGGTGAATAAACAAATTGAAATTAGTGACATTTTTATCTCTAGAAACTACGAATAGTAATGTTTGCGAGGCTGAGCGTCGATGTTAACTTCAGGGACTTAAATCAAGTGAAGTCAAGAATTAATTACTCGATCATATACCCAGAGAAAAATTTTATTTAAACCAATTATAATTTATTTGAGTTAAATAAAAGTATATCTGTCTTAGAGCCCACAAAATTATTTGTTTTAAATGGAAATTTAATTTGGCACAAATAATTTTTATTTGAATCGAATAAAATTTATTGGAAACGAATAAAAAGTTCAGTAGACTCTGAGTCAAATATATTTTTCTGGGTGTAGATGATTGATTGTTATTCTCGAATCTCGTTTGGACATAATATTGTGTCTATTTTTTTATGTGAATTTTTTTATTGAAAAATAATTTAAAGGATTAACGTGAGCATATTCTTTTTAAAGCATTATATATGTAATAAACCGCGAATAACATCACACAATTGAATTTGTTTTTATCGCACTAAAATTTCATAAATCTCTACCATAGTCTTTGAATATTTTGATCGTTCATTTGATCCATATAGTTGACATATTGCATTTGAAAATTCGATGAACCAAAATAGTTTGGATAATTATAGTCTCCATTAGATGAATCCATCACTGTTCGATTATCAATAGCCGACGATTTGACGTCATTTACTGCTCTTGAATCTGGATACAAGTCACTTGTCAGATAAGATTTATAATCCGTTTTCACAGATTTCATTTCTTCGTGGTCAATTGTTGGACGTAGTTCCGGTGAGAAATTACTCTTGTAATCTGAACCGAGAACAACGTGACGATGAACATTCATATTGATTGTTGATCGATTGACAATTTCTGTATTCATGTCAATTCGATAGTCGGGGGAGAAATTGTTGTCGATTTTTAATTCCGTTGAATTCGAACGAAAATCGGGACTTAGGCGAATGTCGTTTTTTTGATAATCCGTTTGCATTGAAGGGGGATTGTTGATGTCTGTTCGAAAATTTGACCAATAGGGATTGTAGGAGTCTTGAATATTTGGTTTGCCGTCTTTTATTAGAACTGGGATTGAAATTTTCTTTAGTGGTTGACTGGTTTTTTGGGTTTGAATTTTTTCCGCGTCCTCGAGACGTGCCCGTTTATTTTTGTAGCGACGATTTTGAAACCAAATTTTCACCTGTGTGCTTGTTAGTTTTAAATTTTGGGCCAACATCTCGCGTTCTGGAGCACTCAAGTAGCGCTGGTGCTTGAAACGTTGTTCCAGTTCGTAGACTTGTGTCTGGAAAAAACAATTTTTTTAAATTAATTTCTAAAGTACTAGAGGTAATGGAAATAATATTAAGTTAGTAGGACCAAAAAATAGTCGCTGTGCATTTTTGAAAAATGAAATTTTTAAAGATTGTTAAAAAAGAGTAAATTTTCTTTTCTGTATTTACTATGAAATTGGAACCAAATTATATTAATTAATTATTGACTTTATTGATTAGTCATTTACAAATTGTTAATAAATAATTTATTAAGTTTAATGAATCATTCAGTCATTAATTAATTGTTTATTAATTATTCATTAACTTATTTCTTATTTACTATTTATTAATTATTATTCATTAATTATAAATTTTACAACTGCTTTGGTTTTTACAACAAAAATAATATAAGAAAACACATTTTTACTTACTTGTGAAAATAGTACTCGGGGTTTTCTTTTTGTTCGTTTTCCCGACTGACTTTTCCGCAATTCAGTTCTGCTTGAGGTGACAACATTGCCTAAAAATTAAAATTTATTTATTACTAATTGCCAATATAAATCATTTATATTTACTTTATAATATACGCGCGTCTTATCATTATCTGTCCGAATTAAAAAAATAAAATAGAAAAAATGTTAACTTTTTAAAAATGAGGAAAAGAGAAAGAAAAGATAATTTTATAAGTATTAAAGATATGTAATTAAAGAATTATTTTATTATTATCTGACATTTGCAATTGTGAACTTGATAAAAAAATTAAAAGTAAACTAAACAATTAAAAAAATTTTTAAGGAAAGTAAACACAAATTAAACAAATTAAAAATTAAAATGAAATACGAATTAAACAAATTAAAAAATAAAATGAAACACAAATTAAACAAATAAAAAAAACTTAAGCATACATTAAATAAATTACAAAATAAAATCAAAGGCAAATTAAACATATTAACAAATAAAATAAAACACATATTAAACAAATTAAAACTTAAATAAAAACAAATTTTTAAAAAATGAAAAAATTTTAATAAGAAATTTAAATAAAATTAAAACATAAAATTGAAAACAAATTAAAATGTAAAATTAGAAACAAGAATATTCAAAATTTAAGAAGCAAAATTGAAAATTGAAACTTTTAAAAACTTAAAAAAATTATATTATTTATATTGTTAATATTAAAAAATTAACAATTACACATATTTTTTTTGAAAGAGTTAACACTTTTTTAAATTTAATTTTTGTTTTTATAAATTAACATTAACAATAACAAATACAAATTAAATCATTTAAAATTAGTTTAAATGTTACTATTTAAATATTTAAATAGTCCAAATTCAACGTAAATGTAGAATGAATAATTGTAAATTAGTTTACAACATAAAAAGTAATTATTTTAAATGAATAGTTTGCATTAAATTAAATTCGTATTTGTTTATAGTGCAGCAAGTGGTTAATTATTTATTAAAACAAACCTTCTTCGACAACAGGTGATTCGTGGTAGGGTGGCACAACTTGACTCAACTGGTGAACGTGGTTCATTTCTTGATAATTTTGATAGCTGGTAACTGTTTGCTCCTTGTATTTATTAACGTTCCAATTTCCATCGGGTATCATGTTGTACGAATAATAATCTTGATTCCCCGATGAACAATGCGTCTGTGTTTCACTTTGTTGATGAGGGGGGTAACACTCCATTGTATTTAATTGTTGATCCCCGTTTAAAATGTCACGAACACTGAAAGGTGTTCCCGATACCGATGTGGGCAACATCCTAGCACATGCTTTTGTTAAAAACGAAAATAGTGTCAATAATTGTCCTTTTTCGAAAAGTTTTCTCTTCACCAAAAACTTGAATTCGCAAATTGCTTTTTCAAACTTTTCCCGGAGTGAAAAATGTCAAATTTACTCAAAATTCTTTTGAGTTAGCCACTGTTATCAGCACTTTTTTTTGTACTTAAATTTCGCAAACAATACAAAGAAAATGTATTTAGTTAGTTAACTTAGTAAACAGAAGTTAGTTAACAGACTTTGTTAACTTGGCTAATTAATTAATGAATAAAAATTGATAATTCTTTGATGAAGTTTTGTCAATTTTCCGAAAATATTTCTTCACAAAAGAAACAAAAATCTAAGAAAATTAATAAACAAGTTTTGTTTAGATTTTGTAGAGAAAATGTTGTTTTTACACTAAGTTTCGCAAAAAATTAGCTATATGCAAACTTGAGTGAAGTGTTTGTCAATATGGTATCGATTTTTGGATCGCCACGGAGGGTGATTTTGCTTTTGTAAGCGATCAGGTCGGAGGACAAGCGTGTAATGTGACGACTTTAGTCTTCCCTCTGAATAGACAAGTTTTGGTTTAACTGAGAAGAAAATTTCATGCGCGTGCGCTTGTGTGTGTGGGTTGGCCGGGCTATCGTATTTCTACTAAGACAATTTAAAAACGAAAGATGAATTTCAAATCTTAAATGTACATATGAATAAAACTTCATGTATACATCATGGCACGAGTTGATCATGGTGGTCCTTCAATTATAAAGTAATAAAAATAACATCCACTAAGATCCTCAAAGATTCGCCCATTAGCTTAAAATGATTCAAATTATTTTTTCATCTTGTACTTCATTTTAAAGTTGTTTTTGAAACTTCAAACATTTTTTTACATCCCCTACTTCATTACAAAGACTTTTTTCTTTTGAAAATTAAAAACTTCTCAATTAAGGAAAAATTTTGCTTTAAAGAATTTTTTGATTTCCTTAAATTTTTTTCTGAATTTTTTAATTTAAATTGATTTTGAATGAAGAACTTAAACATCAGATATTTGATTCTTTCAATTTAATTTTACTTAAATGAAGTAGACGTTTAATTAAATTAAATTCTTATTTAATTTAATTCAATTAAGAAGTTTAATCATTTAAATGTTCGGTTCATTTAATCAAATTTCAACCGAGCGCATTAGTCAGTTAATAGAATTTAATTAAATTAAATAATATAACCGAACTTGTGATGATTGAAATTTTTTTTCCGAAAGTGTCGAATAAATATAGTAAATCAGTAACAATAATGCTTTTAAATAATAATGTTTAAAATTATTTACATTAAGAAAAGAAAAATATAAAAATTCAATTAAATTATTGGAGTATTCATTTTGATGTCATAATGCAATACATTGTAGATTTAATTTTGTTTATCAGAAAACGGTGTTAATATTATTATCGTACACATGGTACTGTTATCAAGATAGTGAATCTTGTTAAATTATTATATAATTGATAATTATCATTTCTTTAAAGAAGATAGCTAATTTTTTTTAAATGTTGATAAGAATTATCTAATGTTATATCTGCTATACAATAGATGAGCATATAATTATTTTGAAAGGAGATATATTTTATTTCAATAGTTTAGAAAAATTTTGTGACTTTTTTTATTAACAAAAAAATTTTTAAATTACATTTATATTAATATGGAATGTATTTATTAAATATTTTGAACTCTGACGTCGATTCAGACAGCCATACCGTGAAATCATCTTGGGGCGGAGATTATATTACTGGTCCCGCCTTTATACAAGATATTTCACCAATCTCGACTTACAATAAGAACGAGTACAGTGCTTAATTCATTCGATTAATTTAAATCCCTTTTATCCCGATATCATTAAAACATAAATTTACAAACAAAGAAGCTTGCCGATGATCGACAGATCGTTTTGATATGAAATTAAGTGTTAATTAGGTATTTAATGTGTTTAGTGTCATGTTATTATAGAACACTTTATATTATATCTACACTAAATTGTTATTATTTTAACAATTTATTTCTTTTTCCTCATTATTTTTTAATGCAGAGAATCATTTATAAGAATGCAGAATTTTTGCGATTTCTACACTCAAGGGAAATTTATTTTTGAACCAAATACTCTATTTGTTGAATAAATTTAATTTTTTGGTAATTTTACAATAAGAAAATAACTTAAACTATTTATTATTCAGTTTTTTTTCCAATAACCTAAATAAATTTAAACATAAACAGTTTTAAACCTATTTAAATAATATATATTTGAATAATTTGGTTCAGTTTAAGAAATTTTGCGGATAACCCAATTTTGAATTAAAAGAAAGAATTTGATCATCTAAAAGAAATTTTTAGTTGAACCAAATAAATGTTCGGTAATCTGAATGCATTTATTTGACTGATTCAAGCAAAAGTTTTTTTTGAGTCTAATAATTTCTTAATCTGTTAATTTCAATTTATTTATTACTTATTTATTGTTTTTTTAATTATTTTTACTGAAATTAATTAATTAATCAATTACTCGTCTATTAGCAAATAAATATTTACTTAAACAAATAATTTTTATTTAAATTAAATAAATTGTATTTGAATCAATAATTTCAGTATTTGAATAATAATAATAATAATAATCATAATTATTAATAAAAAATTATAATTAATTATTATAATTATAAATATATTATTAATTGGGAAAAGAGTCAATTCTCGGTTACACGTGGCCACTTAACATTACACGCTTACATTTAGTTTGAATACTATGTGGTTTTTGATCCCTCGTCAAAAAGGGGTTGAGGCAAAACAAAACAATTCATTTTCCCACCAATGACGTGGGCAATAAAGACGAGTAGAGAGCACGCTTCTTTTTCATCGTTCTAACATTATCCAGACGCTGTCACAGGCGCCCTGAAGCCCTTGATGGGTCCCCGATTCAAGAAACGGGAAATTCTTACTCAAAAAAGATGATTTTTTTAATTTATTACTATACCATTCACATATATACCAAAAGTTATGTGTGAGAATGTACAATGAGAAATGTTTTTCTCAGATAAAAAACTATTAATTAATTGAGTTAAAAAAAGAGATAAAACTAATGATTAACTGATAAAAGGATTTCTTTTTCATTCATTTTTGCTCCACTTATATCGTTAACTGAAATTAAGCAGGTACTCTACTTATTTTCAGTCAAATTTTTACTTAATGGTTTTGAAAAATTACCTCTCTGTGAAAATAGGATTTTATTTTGACTAACCGACTGACTGAATGACAGTGGATGACTAAAATTAATTACTTTTTGGGCATATCTATATAACTTATAATTTCAGGATATTATAAATTTTATACTTTTTATCAAAAGTACATTTTACTAATGTTTGTTAAAATTTAGTTCGGAAATGGTAAAAATGCATCCGGAAATAGTGAAAATTGACAGTAATGCGCAGTTTCCGACATTTTATGTTTTATACTAGGTATAAAATTAGTAAGAATTTGGATTATCAATAAAAAATTAATTAATTTCGCCAAGAATATTGATCTAAATGACGCGCATTGAAAATAATTAGCGCATGAAAAAGAAGCATAAATTAATTAGCTTAACAATTAAGAATTAAATAAGCAATAATCAATTAAAAATGTTTACTAATTTTTAATTAGTGAATGACTTTTTACTTTTCAGTTAGTAAAGTTTACTAATAAATTAGTATAGAAATTACTATATTGTATATCAGTAAAATTTACTTATTCAGAAGTAAAAAGACAGTCTCTAATTCAAATTAGTAAACATATTTACTAATTCAATTTTATAGTGTTCAGTGTAAAAATATAATTGAAGATACATAATTGAAACTTGATTTAATTAAATAAATTTATTAAGCACATTCATATTAAATTTAGTAAGTACACGAAGTACTATAAATTATTTAATACAAATTCTAATCGATTAAAAACCAGTCAGATTTCTGACTAATTTCTAATTTTGAATCACTGAAAAAATATAAGTCTTGTTTTAAGCCTAATTTTAATTAGGTAACTATTCAGGTAACTAATTAGTTTTAGTTTTTTAAAAAAGTTTCTTAATCTGAAATTCAGTCAATAATGAAGTAATCGAACTTGTTTTATGCAAAATTTGTCTGAAAACAAGTAAAAATTTTAAACTTGTTTCTTATATATTATACTGAATTTAAGTAGAAGTTGCTTATAGCTCTTGCTTTTCTGTTTTTGCCTTTTGCTTTTGATGACTTCTTCCCCTTTTGAATGGATAGTTAATAAATAAAAATAATTGACTTTTGTTAACAAGAGTATGGAAGAAAACAAGTGTTTTTTTATTCATTTAAATGAATTAAATACTTCTCATGTACATTGGAAAGGCGATGTGCACCGATTGCTATAAGCAATAAATGCAGGCGCCACGGGATAGTGGGCGCCTTTCTTCACTGTGGGAAAGACGCCCGACGACGTCCCAAAGCAGGCGCTCAAAAGTCGAGACATGTCATGAGATCACTGCTTTATATTAAATAAGAAAAAAATAGCAGGTACTGGTACTTCCTCCCCTCTCTTTCTCTCTCTTATTATAAACAATTTCTCACTGAATTTTTCTAGAATTTCCATTTAGTTTCGCCAATATGGTGTAGAAGTTAACAAGTGTTCTTAAATTTCGAGTGTGTAATTCACTTCAACAACACAAATTTTAATAAGCTTATTTTTTATCATTTGCAGTTAAGTAAAATTGGATTAATTCAGTTTTTTTACCATATACTACTATTTGGGTACTTTTTTAGATTTCAGCCTCTAAAAGCTATACTATTTCTGTGTTTTTTTTTGAGAATTTCCACTTATTTAAATTCGCTAATACTAGACATCAAAAAACTATTCTCAAAAATTATAATCAAATTCTTGAAAACGATTCAATTATTTTCAAAAAATATTTGAAATTCAATTATTTTCAATATCTAGTATTTTCATAAAATTTTGCAAAAGAATTCAATTATTTAAAAAAAAAATTGATAAAATTCATATAAAATTCAATTATTATAAATAATAAAATTTCCACAGAGATTCAATTTTTTAAAAAAATTTCTGATAAAATTCTAAGCAAGAATTTAATTATTTTCATAAATAATAAAACTCATCGAAAAATTTCAATTATTTTTACCTACAAAATTATTTTACAATTTAGGAAAAAAGTGCAACAATGAGAAATTTAGTAAAGTTATATTTGAATTTAATCAATATTTTTGATATTTTGATATAAATATATTAAATTCCTCATAACTTTTCTTAAATTTTAGTATTTTTTATATTAAAATTTCTCATTGTTGCAATTTTTCCCTAATTTGTAAAATACTCTTACAAAATTTAATATCAATTTTCTCTGCGTGTACTATTTTAAATTACTTAATCGAAAAATTCAACTATTTTCACAAGTAAAGTTTTCCACAAGAATTCAATTATTTAAAATAAAATTTTCGTAATATTTATTATATTTCAAAAAAAATTAATTACTTAAAACAATGTTTATAAAATTCTTATGAAGAATTCAATTATATTTTCAAAAATAACAAAATTTTTCACTGAAATTCAATTCTTTTTAAACAGTTTTATAAAATTTTTC